CCGCTTATTTCTATTTAATTCTGCGCTACGTTATCTCGTTAAGCGTTTAACCTGCGCCTTTTCACAGGAGTTGCAGAGGAGATTGGACCAGACCCTGGGCAAACCGGGCAGCTACCTAGCAGGAATCGACCGAGCGGGGAACGTGAAGCCAATGACTATAGGCGCACGCTTATACAGGGTCGAGCAGCAGGTGAGTTCACGACCTTTCTTCCGGCTCTGTGTCATCTCTAATACTCGTTATTTTTTTTTTTTCGAGGGTGAAAATTTTCTTTCACGTACATATATATTCCCATTTTATTTATAGATAGTGATAGGATAATATAAAGTATAAATTCAATCGTAAAATTTTGAACATTCCTTTTTCTCATTGATATCTTAAAAATCGATAGTTTTAATTTAAATTGGGTACAGACACGAGATACTTTCAATTCTGATCGAACGTTGATTAAATGGATTCGAATTTTTTTTATGAATTCTCGTTATTAGTGATTGTAAATATTTGAAATCGTAAATTCGGAATAGTTCGGGAAACATCGGGAGAGATCGGTTGAGATCGCTTGAGATTTGGATATTCCCATATTACGATGAGAGGTTCGAGTGGATTCGGCAAAGATCGGATACGATCGGTTTTTCATCGTACGAATAAGCGATATAAATAGATTGTAGATTTTTTCATCTTTGTAGAAACTTATTTTGTCGTAATAAAATAGAATTTTATGAAATGAACCCTTGATATTAGATTTGACTTGGATTTGAAAATGTTAAATTTAATTCCATCGCTACAAGTGGATAAATGTAATGAGAGATATAATTTTCAATTCGATGAAGGTCTGCAAAGCTTTATGCTTGAGCATTCAGTTTCAATTCGATCGTATTAACGCGGATACAATTGTATCACGATCTCCAATAGTAGAGATTAAAAAATTTGTTAAATTATCAATATATAGGTATCTGTGTCTAGAAAACATGAATATATTATTGAAATGAATTATTAAATTGCTTTTAAATTATTAGATCATTGAAATTAATCATGCAATTTGAAATATCTATTATCAACTCTTTGTCGAATCATATTACATTTCACATAACACGTTTTCATAAAGTACATCATCCATGATTATTATTCCTTTCAAATTCATCAAGCATTAACACACTTTATTACAATATAATTATATAAAGATTACAAACTACAATCATATCAAAAATTAATATGATTGTAATTATTGTAAAAATTAATATGATTAATAATATTTATATATTACTATATAATCTATTTTTCCTATAATTTTATAATATCCTTTTGTAACAAATTTTAATTTTAATTTTATTTAAAAAATTTGAAACAAAAACACAAACATACAACTTTTCCTATTTCTCCTCAAACTTTCTGAACAAATTCCATTTATTAACTTTTCGTTCCCAATCTTCAAAATAAAATCTTCAAATGAGAAAAAAAACGAGAAAAAAGAAAAAAAAAAAAGAAAAACGAGAGAAAGTGAAAAGAAAAATACCTCTCTGTCCAGAGAGCAGAGATTCTTCTATCCGCAGGGACGAGCGAGAAGATTGTTTCTCACATGGAAACTATTTCTGTCCGCAGTTGTCCGTGATGGACAAGAAATTGGACCAGCTGGTCTACGTGCTGAACGCGGTGGCACAAAAGCAACAAATACCCCTGAGGAGTATAGAGGACGACGTGTAACAGAAAGCCCCCGGCGAGCTCGTGCCATCTATTTCGCGATCACCGGCAATTCCATGGACTTTGCCTCGTGTTACCATAACCAACGTCGCGGCGAATATGTTAAGCGAAAGCGGTTGAACCGCGATCGGCCTTGTGCACTCGGCCGCAAATACAGGGATCTTTCTTATCTATGCGTACATAGATCAAAGTAACGTTCGAAAGAAACTGGAGATACTGGACGATTTTTGTTCTCGACGATTGTTTTATATTAGTTATTTATGGATTTCTTATTGCTATTTTGATTGTCGATTGAAGGATATTAAATGAAATGGAGAAGAAATGGATTAAGAAATGGATGGTGAGGAGTTTGGGAAATTGAAAGAAACAACGAATCACGAAAACGAAAGAAAGATGGATAAATCGAAGTTAAAAGTTTAAGATAGATTTAACAAAAGTGAAAATTATGAAATAAGTGGAAAAGAAGAGATTGTGCAATTATTGGATGAGGATCGATAATTAAGAATTTATAACGAATAAAAAAGAAGAATTGTTTAAAATTAAGATTTAGTTGACATCAAAAATTTAACGAAAGTTAAAAATTTACATCTATTCTTAAATAATATGGAATCTCGCCGAAAAATCTCATTGAACTTTATACAAAAATATCCAAAGGATTACAAGAAAGAAAATCATCTTTACTTTTTGCATAAATCTGGAACCAAGAATGAATTAAATATTATTCAATTTTTAAATTATTCAAATATTTAATTCAATTATCATAAAAAAAAAAAAACGAAGAAAGATAGTACCTGAACATTCAAAGCAAAGAATCTATAGATAATCAGAAAATCGTCCAACATACATAAACTCCTTTACAATCGCAAAGAAACCAAACTAAAAAAGAAACAAAAAAAAGAAAAAAATCAAAAATATAAAAAAAAAGTTTCTTTGACATTGTTCGTACCTCGTCTTAAAGAAAAGAAAAGGAAAAAAAAAACTAGAAAATAAAAAAAAAAGATTCGTAAAATCCTCCAGCCCAGAGGGCCTTATCTCCGGGAAAAAATCGATCTAGATCCTATAAAAGAATTTGGCAGGAGCAAAGCTCACTTTAAACGTCGTCGCTTACATATACTTCCTCTACTGATACTGATCAGTGGTCCTCGGAGAATAGCTTTCATAAAACCGATCACGCTAAACGCACAGGAATGATTGTTCTCTTCGAACAAACTTGGGAACCGTTGGAACAACGTTGGAAAAACGTTGGAATAATATAAAGTTAAATAATAAATTGAAAATAAAAATAATAATAATAATAATAATAATAATAATAATAATAATAAACGAAAAACAATGGAAAATATATTCATCATGTCGATCGTGAGTTCTCGATATATAACCAGGAGAGATCGATGTTTTTGGACGATTTAAAAGCAAACGCATCGAAAGATCGATCGATAAAAAAGTGTTTATATGGTAGAATGGTGAGTCGATCGGTAATAAAGAATTTGTTCCGAAAGAGCAGTTTAGGTACGCGAGAGAAATGAATGCAAACGTATTGGGAACATCACTTGGGCCAACTAGGAATAATAGAGAGGAACAATAAGCAAATATAAAGAAAAACTTCCTAGGCGAGATATATCTCTATAGGCTATACATAATATATTATATATATATATATACACATATACATACAGATAAAACTTCTAGTCTCTGCTGGTAATAACGATCAATTATTAAGCCTTAAAATTAATCACGAACTTTGAATATCTTATTGCTAATCTAATTAGAAAAGAATCGAAATACATATGTGTATAACTGCGTGTACCAATGGGTACATGTATTGTACAAATACGCGGTATCGAGTTCTATATATATATTGCTAGAATATGTTTTTTTTCCTCTCTCTCTCTCTCTCTCTCTCTCTCTCT